ATCTTTTATTAGACCAACAAGATTGCCTTTTCTTCTAGACCAATATGGCTATAACCTGGATACCTGACACATGAAAGGTATCGAATGTTAGCCGCTTTAAAAAAAAATAAAAAAAATTCAATCTTCATATTTTCCCAAGCAGGAGACAACTGTGACCACCTGAAACCCGAGATCCTGCTCCTGCCTTGTTTTAAGGTAATTTGGATCATCACAGATCCTCACAGGAGGCGAGAGGCTCCATAGCACCTATGAACTGACTGCCCAGAGGAGTTTTCCATCTATTGACTCCTCTGTGAAATCCTATGAAATATGCACTTTCATTTCTACCCAGGAGAACTTCTACAATCTTTTTTCCAATGCCCTATGAAGGGTGTTTGTGCCAAAAAGCTTGCAATTAAAGATTTTTTTATTTTTTTTTTTTGCAAAAATCTAGTTTGTCTTATAAACAATATCATCTGTACTATGAGTCCTGATTGCCTTTTCCTCTCTAGACCAATATGGCTACAACCTGGATTCCTTGGTGAATGCATGCTTGGTATTTGCATGCTGTTGATATACAGGACCTTGGTCTTAGCGTCTGTCTGGATAGGCTGAGGCAGAGGTTTACAGAGTTAGAGAAACTTCTTTCCTTTTAAGGTTCTAGACTGACATCCAGAAAAGAGTTGGCTTTTATTTGTGACTTTGCCACAGATTGGTGATCCCCCTAATAGCTATAGCTATGTCCTTTATGATTATGCAGGAAAAAATAATTTATAAAGGGATCTGACTGATGGAAGAGAGGGGTTTTTTTTCCGTTATCAAAGGGTCGAAGTGGTTCAGGGTATTTAAGGGAAGCACAAGAATCTATTAATCATTTTCTTTTATGTTACTGATAAAGATGTGATACAAGGTCCTTTGTGCAGATCTTCAGTGTCATTATAGATTAATCTATTTTTCAGAAGTTTTTAAAAAATGGTGCTTTCAGAAAGCTTTGCATTTACTTTGATAATACATAACTTTCATCTTTGTTTACCAGTTCTATGTTTGCATTTGAATTGCTGGGGGAATACAATAGACAAAAGAACTAGCTTGATTAGTATGCACTTTCCCCATCTTTTACTGAAAAATGGTTAAGGCAGTTTCTAGAAGCTTGGTTCCATTTTTGAGTATGTGAATCCATAAGAGGATGCAGTTATTTTGTAGATCCAGTAATAATTCACTGGGTTGATTGGTTGACCCCTGGAGAGAGGGAGAAATTAACAGATAAGAAGAGGTGAGATAAGACAATTGTTATTGAATTATAGGCCTGTAATATCATGCCTTCATTCTTTAAGGCCCCCTCTGACATGTTACAGTTATCATGCAATTAACTGGAGACTAGCTACCTGTGAAAAGTAGCTATCACAAAAGAAAAAGCTTCAACCAGTTGTAAAATTGGACCTTGAAAACGTGTATTAAGTTTTGTAGCTGGTTGCTATTGAGTTTTAATTTGCACATGTAGTCTCTCCTGTAGCTGGAAGCCCAGTCAGCTGATGGGGCTCCTAGCCACAGGGGTGCACCATGCCCATTGTAAAATCCCCAAGTCCTAGAGAGCTGCAGTCCCCAGGGTCTGGGCATTTCCCACATTTCTGAGCCCTAGGGATTGTGGGAACCACAATTCCCAGGGTCCAAGGGTTTCTTGTACTCCTGAGCCCTGGGGATCTTGGATCCTGTGATCCCCAGGGCTTGGGAGTATGGGAAACCCCCGGACCCTGGAGATAGTGGGAGATGTGATCTCTAGGGCCTAGGGGTGTGGGAAACCCCTGGGGCTGGAGGATCACAATGATCCCCTGGCCCCAGGGGTTTCCTGTACCTTGAGGCAAGGAGATCGCCCTTGTGGCTATTCACTGGCCCTGGGAGTGCCTGGGGCTCCCAGCCACAGGTGCTTGCTGGTGGTGCAAGGGGAGCCTGGGATTGGGTTTCCCCTGCACCGGCAGTAAGGAGAAATGGGATCTAATGCACAATTGTGAGACTCCTGCTTTACGTTCCATCGCACCTTTAGCTTCATGTATAGAGGGGGCCTAAGATGCATTATTAAGTGAATGATACCACAGAGCAGTATGACTAGATGTTCATCATGACAAACCTTGAAGTGTAAATCTAGGCTCAGAAGTAAGAGAAAGGAGGAAGAGGGAAGTACGAAATTACTATTTAAAGCAGGCTTGTCCAACATATGGCCCGCGGGCCACCATGTGGCCCGCCAAGGCATTTTCTGTGGCCCGCGGTGCTGCAACGGGAAATTAAAGTAAATGCTGTTTTTTCGTTCCCACCCCTTGTCCCTCCCCCAACCCCTCAGAAGCTTCCTAATGGCTGCTGAAGGGCTGGGGGAGGGACAAGGTTCCCACACGCACCGCGTCAGCTTGACGTTGCCGATGTGGTGTGTGTGGGAAGAGGAGTAGCCATGTGCCACTTGGGGCAGGATGAGCCCAGCCGGAGCAGCAGGGCATTCAGATGGGACCTCCTTCTTTCTATTCAAGGCCTGGCCCAAACCACCAGTGTAAACTATATATAAAAAAAAATAAAAAAATAAGCCCTCTGGCTGTAATGCAACCTGTCCCACACTGGGTTCGAACATAAATCTCTGCAGTACAACCCACACCTGCCCCTACGCAGGTCATTTTCTCCTGCAAGCCATCTATGCCTTACTTGAAACATCCTATATCAGCCCAGCAGTCCTCTGCAGCCTCTCTCCTTAGGAGCTCTCTCCCCTTGAGCCTGCAGGGCCAGACTGTCTCCCTAGACTTAGCCCTGGGCTTATATCCACTAAGCCACACCCTTGGGAGTCCTGTGCCTTCCTTTGGCCAGCTGCAGGTGTCCTCCATTAGGTTCCCAGATTGGCCTAACTGCTGCAGCAGCATAGCATCCCTCTTCTCTAGGCTGAGCTCTGTCCTGCAGCACTATTGCTGTGCTACCAACGCTGCAATTGGCACTCTGCCCTGTCACCTTATAGCTGAGCCACTTACTTTGCACTGGGTGCCTGCAGCCTATTAGTCCCTTACTGCTCTGCCTTTCCTGGTTCCTAGTAAGCAGCTCCCTGCACCTGGGGCTCCCTGGGGCTGTTTGCTCCCCTCAAAGTAACAGAGTCCCTAGCTCACTGTTACAATAGGTTTTAATGGGGTTTTGGAGCGTCTATTGATATAGGCATTAAAAGAGATCCCTCGCACATTTTTGGACACCTGTGACCTGGTTTTGGATTTTTCTGGTGGTTTCTGAATTTCCTCAGAAATTCCTGCAGGATCATGAGTCACCTGCTGTTGAAAACTTTCAAGGATGGGCATTCCACGGTTTCTCTAGATAGCTTGTTCCAATGCTTGACCACCCTCATAGTCAGAAAGTTCCTACTAATCTCCAATCTGTATTTCCCCTGCTACAGCTGGATGCCAAACAGTTTTTTATAAAGAGGTTTGAGATCTGATGAAGAAGGTTATAGAATAGGTAGGCAGTATTAGCATATGCTCCCATTATAAAACAACATATATAAAATAGTTTTCCTTCTCATGATAGCAATGGTAAAAATGTATTGGGTAGTACAGATGGTCACAATTAAATGTGTTTCAATGGTTTTTAATGTTTTGTGGATTATGGAAAATCTCAGCATTTTTCATATGACGATTACAGTTTCTCATCTGGCTGACTTGCTAGTGAACCCTAGTTACTGGTCTTGTCCCTAATTGCGCCTTGGTCTATGTCTCCTTTTCCTTTTGGCTCTTTTTGTGAGCAAGTGAAGTGATGGAACGTGACTTTAACTTAGACACTTTTTTGTGCTTTTTTTAGGACCAGGGTATGTAGTGGTTATGCAAACTTTAACAAAAACAGTGGGTCTTATCTTAAACTGGTCACAAAGGCTGTGCAAATGGCTATGTTTCATTTTGGATTTGGCATTTCAGAGGGCCAGTGATTTATTTTGGTGTTTCGGATCACTGTCCCGTTTCGATTTGGCCAAATCAGTTTAGGAGTTTTGACGGTGTTTCAGCCATAGGCTATAATGGGGAATCACTAAAATGCCTATAACTTTGGCATTTCATGCCTAATTCAGATGAAAATTGCTGGGATTGGTAGCCCTTTCTGAGGGCATGGATCCTGCCAAGTTTCAAGGAGATAGGTGTAGGGTTGTTTGTGAAACTGCACCTCAAACTGTTCAAAGCAAAACTAGTATCATTTGCTGGCAGCATGCTGTCATCCTGCACGCAGATCCGGGGGCCCGCGCCTCCCCGGGAAGAGTCCAGAACAGCCCTGCAGTCCTCAGCAGGGTGCCGTGCGCTGTCTGGGAGCTGGGGAGGCTCCACCTGTTAGCTGGAACTCCTGGTTCAATTTCTGAGCTCTGTGATCAGTTCCCCAGCTCTTCCTGGGGGTGTGGGCTCCGGATCTGTGCTCTGGGTTTCAGCAGGCTGCTGCCACAGGCTGAGGCCAGCAGCTGCACCGCAGTCTTCCCGGCGCTCAGTGCAGGGTGCGCTGAGTGGCTGCCACTGGCCCTAGCCTGCAGCAGCAGTCTGCTGAAATCCCAAATGCAGATCTGGGGGCCTGCGCCCCCTGGGAAGAGCTGGGGAATTGAACCGGGAGCTAGATGTCAATATCAGAGTAGTCCTCCCCACCGTCTTCCCCCTCCCTCTTAGTTTTTGTTTCCCTGCAAGCCCGGCTCCAAAAGTCCGAAATTCTCCAAAACACTTCCAAAATGTTTCCGAGCCTTCTGTTTCAATTCGGATTTGGTGTTTCGGGCACCAAAACGGCCCAAAACACCTCTGAAATGAAACAGCTGCTGAGATTTTGCACAGCCCTACTAGTTACCTCTGAGCATCCATTTTAAAGTGTATCTGATGAGATTTCTGTAATAAGGTCAGCACCTGTGACCTAACAGTAAAACTAGTGTACCAGTATTCAGATATTATGGGGATGGGCTCCTTAGAAACAGCAAAGGGAGGTGGAATGTGTAAGGAAGTTTAGTTATTTTTGTTAGTTGAACAGGATGCATCTGGAGCCGTCAGCTGTGACCTTAAGGTACACATTTCTCTGGGAGAGTCCAGTAGTTCAGAGTTATTTGATTCTTTCACATGTGTAACTTATAGCTATCAGAGTTTATTCTCCTAATATCATTGTTCTGGTGGGTTTGGAATTAATTCATGCCTGACAGTTTTGCTCAGCTCTGGTTTAGACTGCAAGGTAGTGGACCTTCTAAGTGTTTTCAGTGTGTGGTAGATTTTTATGTATGTACGTGTATATTTAGAAGAATTAAACAAGGTTTTGAATTTCTTTGATTCTTTCCTACAGAACAGAACATTAAAGGAAGGGTTGGTTGCAGAAGTAGGCTCAAGTTAAATGTGGACTTATTCAGTTGATTAGGTTGCTCTATAGCTGGGGTTGGCAACATATTTGGGCAGAGTGCCAAAACGCCCACAATCTCAACTTGTTAGATGTTGGCATGCCAGGGCAGAGGGTGGGGGAGCCACAAAGGGCCCAATCCTTGTTGTGGTAGCACAGCCTCAGTCCTTTCCCTGAGGCACGAGTGCCAAGCAAATTGCCTTTGCTTGCCATACTCTGGCACATGCAGGTGGTTGCCTACCTTCCCTGTTCTGTAGTAACCTGTAGAGTTAAATTATTGCTACAATATAAAATCTTTTTCCTTTTTCTTTTCTTTTCTTTTCTTTTCTTTTCTTTTCTTTTCTTTTCTTTCCCACAGATGAAACTCCTTCATTGAAATTGATTTAGCATTGATTCTGGCAGAAGGAATGGAAACCTCAAGATTCAAATGAACCCAGAATTAACTAGAAGAACTGATGAACAGAGTGAGAATTCAACATTTATTTTTAATACATAAAACTTAATACAGACCTGATGACTAAATATGTAGCTTTCTGGCGTGCTGTTAATAGGCAGAGGAAGTTCTAAATGCTACATGTGTAACTGAACTGAAAGATCTTCAGCTACTGGGTATTGGCTGAGATGTTGCTATGGTTTTATGCTAAATCTAGACAGTAGAAACATGGCAAAAATGAGACACTCTCTGTAGTACAGAAATATAAAGATTAAATGTACACTTTAATTTTGAAGGGAAACTTGATACATCTTTTGGTATCTTTAGTTTGAGAACAGTGGATCTGAAGTAAAATACAGCGTGAGTTCTAAAACCTAGTTGAAGCAGAAAATGTCCCTTTTCATTGCTTTACTATTTGAGTCATAGTGTTTTGAGCACTGCTCTAAGTAGTAAAAGCTCCAGGGAGGTTTAGATTGAGCAGCTCTAGAATACCCTCCGACTCACTTCTGTATGAGTTGGAAAGGGTTTTTTTATTGTCAGGTATTAAAATATTTTGCTTGAAAAAATTGCGAAGAAGCTGAAGTGAAGTAGAATCAAGAACAGAACCTTCCACTGCGTTTGAAGGCCCATGTTGCTGTGTGTAGTTGAGCAGTGCTTATGTTCTATGTTAAGTTCCTAATGATTTTGAATTTGTTTCCATGGCCATAGTTGTGGGTGATTCATTGTAGTTATTTCTGACTGGCTTGTTCTTATGGTTCTAAGTTGTTCAAGGAATGAACAGCAGAATGACTTTCTCTTTAAAATAGAATTAAAGAACTTAAAATAGTCATGGCAATAGATATGACAGAAGTTATTATTTATAGCAAACTTGCCACCATACAGTGACTTGAGATCCTGAAGCCTGTTCTTTTTTCTTTACAAAATAAAATGTAATCCCTGCAGTGTTCAGTGTTTCTGAATGCATATGATAGTGCTGCCTACTAAAGTTGATTTGATTTAGTCTTTTAAAAAATGCAAGATTTATGTACTGGATAATGGAGAAGCGAGAAAGTAGTTTGGATTTATACAGGTAGATTTTTGTCTCCCCTTTCCAAAAGGAAAGCAGTTTAGACTAATGGTAAGACTGCCTGTGTAATGGCTTTGTCATAGGCATATATATTTCTAACACACTCCTAAAATGTGACTGCAAGGAAACTAATAATTGGATATTTTTATCAGGATGTTATTTTTGTCAGCTATTCTTTTAAATATATTTTTATAAGGAATGTGCTATATTTTTCCTACATTAGCCTCCTTTGTCAATTGATGCTCTTCTAATGTACTGAATGGATACTGTTGTACTTTCCTCTTGGGTTGGAGATGGGGCACTTGTCCCCTGTGAAAGCAGCTGCTACTAGATTGGCTTCTTGGATGTGTGCCAGAGCTGACCATGTGTCTTGTGCTGATTCTTTTACAGAATGCATGCTTCACCCAAACAGTCCTCACTGCTGTAATAACAGAAAGAAATATGGAGTTTAGTTGGGCTTCCCTAAAGTTTCCTAGACATTCCATTTAATCCTTTAAGTGTGATGTGTGCTCTTCTGATGATGGAATACTTGCTTCTTAATTTAAAAGATTAATTTAATCTGTTTAATTTGACTAGATGTCATTTATCCCTTTTAAAATTTATCGTTGAATGTCTGTATTTTTGAGGGTTATAAGGCCAGGTTGTAAGTTTTGTTTTGTTACCTTTGTAAAAATAAAAATACAGTCAATTGTGGAAATGGCTTTGCATTATTTCACTTACATCATTGTACCATTACATTTGTCAGTGTTTTTGGGTACCCTGTAGATACACAGTAGGGGATTGGTTATGAAACATGGTTTAGTTTCATTATGCTACTGAAACCTATCCAGATCGTAATGATGTTCCTAAACATATGCTTGACCTGTAAAAAACAAAACAAAATAAAACCGCACCCCTCCCCCTCAGAAAACTCAGGACACAAAAAAAATCTTGAAAGGCAAGAATGATTGAAAAACACTACACATGAAATTCAGTAGGGGCCTGTGTCTGTTGTAAAACCATAGTTATGCCGTAAATTTTATTTTTCTCTATTTGTGTTGTAGCACAGTTTGTTGGCTTTAAAGATGGATCAAAACATGCTAGAACTGAATTAAACATACTGATTTAGTTCAAATACAGATTCTAGGGTAAGATCCAAAAAGCACGTTGGCATTTTAAGTCCAGGAATGCAGCGCACAAAATGTCTCGCACCTTCATGCTCTCTCGCTCTCTCGTGCCGGGATACCTTGGTTTTTGCCACCAAAGTTCTTTAGGCATCCAAAGTTCTGTTATGGTACCTGCACAAAGGTGTGCCACCTTTAAATGCCATGCCACTCAGTTTACTCATTTTGCACAGAAAGCGTCAAGGGCTTAACCAAGGCTAAATCCCTTGACTTCAGAAGGGCCAACTTCAATGATTTTAGGAGACTAGTGGGGGAGGCACTGAGGGCCCAGAAGGTAGAGGAGATGGGAGTCCACGAGGGATGGTCATACCTTAAGGGGCGATCCTCCAGGCCCAAAGGATAACAGTTCCTGAGAGAAGCAAGAGGGGTAAGAGTGCTCAGAAACCCCCTTGGCTCAGCAAGGGCATTCAGGATTGCCTGAGGACTAAAAGGGGGGCGTACCACCAGTGGAAGGGAGGATCTATCACCAAGGAGGAGTACTCCTCCTCGATCCGGGAGTGTAGGAGGGCTATTAGGAAGGCCAAGGCAGAGATGGAACTCAGGCTAGCGTCCAGGATTAAGGACAACAAAAAGTCCTTTTTCAAGTACATTGGGAGCAAGAAGAGGGCACCAGGCAATGTAGGGCCCCTGCAAGACACAAACGGTAATCTGGTGGCCATGCCAGACAAGAAAGCTGATATTTTTAACAGTTTCTTTGCCTCTGTTTTCTTGAACAGGGATTGGGATATCCCACCTACCAGAGGTAGGGACAATCTTGAGGATAGCTCTGTCAGGCCTTCAGTCAGTGCAGATGTAGTTAGGAATCTTCTGGAAGGGCTAGACATTTTTAAATCTGCAGGTTCAGATGCCCTCCACCCAAGGGTGTTGAGGGAGCTGGCAGGGGTCATCGCGGAGCC